ATTTTGCCTTTTAAATAATTGAAATATTACACTATTTGCTGTTACGGTGTACCAAACCAAATCAAATAGCATTAAGGATATTGTGCATCAATCATTGTGAAATGTATAAACTTTATATGAGGTCATACAGTAGCCGGTCTTATCTGTTGCTTTAAATAAACTAAATATGATACTATTTGGCAGTTCTAATGAGATAACAGAACTTAGAATTCATTTACTGAGAACATATGATGCTGTTTTTTTTGTTTATGTCAGTGATTATAGATTTTATCCATTCAAATGAATTATTTTAAAATCCCCAAAGACCCAGTTTCAAGTTGTTTGCATAAATAAACATGTCAGACCATTCATTCATTTCTTTTCGGCTTAGTCGCGCTATTAATCCGGGGTTGCCACAGCAGAATGAACCGCCAACTTATCTAGCACGTTTTACGCAGTGGATGCCCTTCCAGCTGCAACTAGCGCTGCGAAACATCCATACACACCCATTCACACACACTCACACACTACGGACAATTTAGCCCACACAGTGACCATCTTGCTTTGAGGTGACAGCACTGCCTACTGCGCCACCCTCTTTTCAGACCAACTTAATAATAAGTTTTTAATTACTCTATACTAACATTTTAATGAATAATTTGGAACAATGTATTACATACACACAAACGGATCAAACACAGACAAAAAGGAGTTTCAAGCATCAAATAATAATAAAAAAAAAACTAATAGTGGAATATGTCCTGTTAATTTTTTCAGAGAAACATTACATAATAAATATCACGAGTTAAAGACAATACCTAAAATGGGTAACATTTTACAATAAGGTTTTAACTAGTTAAAACATTTACTAACATGAACAAACAATGAATAACACATACAGATTTCTATATAGTCCTTTTAAAATTACTTATTGCATTAATATTAACAAGCAAGACTTTGGATTTTAATAATTCACCGCTAATGTTAAACTATGATTAATAAATACTGCACAAGTATTGTTCATTCTTATAAATGTTTATGGATTACATTAACATTAATTAATGGAACCTTATTGTAATGTGTGACTGAATGCAATTTTGTGCCACAATGTGTGGTAGCACTTCACAATACTGATCCATCATTAATTAATAACTAAGCTGGAACAAACAACCAAAGCAATATTAACTGTCTAGTAATTACTGTTAACTGTCACAAAACTGATTAATAAATAACGAATGAATAGCCCACATATGACACTGATAGTTCACTTAACTAGCCAATAACTACTTTCATTTATTCATTTTATTTTCGGCTTAGTCCCATTATTTATCCGGGGTCGCCACAGCGGAATGAACCGCCAACTTATCCAGCTTGTTTTAACGCAGCGGATGCCCTTCCAGCCGTATTCCATCTCTGGGAAACATCCACACACACTACCGACAATTTAGCCTATCCAATTCACCTATACAGCATGTCTTTGGACTGTGTTGAACATAAAGTCTGCACAGAAACGCAGAGGCTTAAACCAGCGACCTTCTTGTTGTGAGGCGACAGCACTACCTACTGCGCCGCCAATAACTACTTTCTTAGGAACTAATTAGAAAGTTTCATAATTAAAAATAAGTAATAAAGGACAAAACTGCAAAACATTACTATTTTGACCACTACTGTGAACAAATATACAATACTCTTTACATCATCGATTGGTAACCTAATAGCATATAGATGTTTCAATTCGATTCTCTATATGCAGAAAATAAAGTTTGCATTGTAACTCACTAGTAATTACTTCAGTGTTACTAATTATTAATTAGTTATGGATGAATTATGATACTTTTTCATTAGTTCTTTAGGTAGAATGAAAAAACAGTATTTATTGACTAGTTAATATTGAATTATACCAGTTTCATCTGTGAGATATTCCTAATCTATTAATCAACTTCTTTATAGTAATTACTAGAGACTTCTTAACAGTACTGTTATTACTTTTTAATTTTTAGACTATTATTACTATTAAAGTACTAATTATTTAACAGTAATTACTAGATAGTTAATATTGCATTAGTCAATTTCCCTGTGCAGTTATTAATGATGGTTTAGTATATTACCCAATAGTTTATACTCCATGTCTATGGTAAAATAATTCCATCCTCATTCAGCATAATTATTCTTAATATATATAAAACAACAAGTGTTCATATTTTATTTTAAATGACTAAATATTCTTGCTGACAAATGGCATTTTAAAGTTTTAAAGTGATGATAAGTATGTTGAAATGCTAATGGTCTAATCCGATTCAATGACTTTGCTAAGCTAAGCTAAAAGTGCTCCCACCACAACAAGAGATTGGCTGAACGGATTAAAAAAATGGTAAAACCTAACTTTTAAACTTTTTAGGAGAGTTAAAAAAAATGAGCCTATTTTCCAATAAAATATGAGTGTTCCTTTACAATATACCAGCAAATAGTTCCTTGTGTAGTTATTAGTCATGAATCAGTATACTAAAATATTACACAATAGGTTCTATGTTTATCCATGTTCTATGGATAAACATGGGTGAAATAATTACATCCTCATTTAGAATATTCATTTTCACCCACAAATGTTCATATTTTATTTCAAACGATTAAATCCTCTTGCTCACAAATGGCATTTTAAAGTTTTAAAGTAATGATGAGCATGTTGAGATGCTAATGGTCTAATATGATCTAATGACTTATGCTAGGCTAAACTAACATGCTCTTATCAGGCAAAGAAATCAGCTGAATTGATTAAAAAAAATGGTAAAACTCTATTTTTAACTTTAGGGAAGTTTAAAATGAGCTTATTTTTCAATAAAATGCGAGTTCCTTCAGAATACCAGCAAACAATTCCCTGTGTAGTTATTAAAGGTACATCAGTACACTAAAGTATTACCTAATAAGTTATACTCCATTTTTTATGGTTAAATATGGGTAAAATATGGGTTCACATTTATTTTTCAGTAATTAAATCCTCTTACTGACAAATAGCATTTTTAAAGTTTTAAAGGAATGATGAGTGTGTTAAGATGCAAATGGTCTAATCAGATTCAATGACTTATGCTAAGCTAAGCTAAAAAGTCTCCCAAAAGTCAAAGAGATCGGCTTAATGGATAAAAAAAAGTTAAAACTTAACTTTTAAACTTTTTAGGGGAGTTGTAAAACGAGCCCATTATCCAATAAAAAAATAGTGTTCCTTTAAAATATACCAGTACATACTTCCTTGAACACAGGGAGAACATGTAAACTCCACACAGAAATGTCAACTTGTCCAGCAGGGACTCGAACCAGCAACCATCATTCTGTAAGGTGACAGTGCAAAGCACCGAGCCACCGTGCCACCCTAGACAGTTATTACTTAACAGTAATTACTAGATAGTTAACATTGCATTAGTCTTTTTCCCTGTGAAGTTAGTAATGATGGATCAGTGTTCTATTATCTAATAGGTTATACTCCATGTCTATGAGTAAACATGGGTAACATAATTACACCCTCATATAGAATACTTATTTTCACCCAGAAGTGTTCATATTTTATTTTAAACGATTAAATCCTCTTGCTAAAAATGGCATGCTAATAGTCAGATTAGACCATTAGCATGTTGAGATGCTAATGGTCTAATCTGATATAATGACTTATGCTAAGCTAAGCTAAAAGTGCTCCCATCAGACAAAGAGATCAGCTGAATGGATTAAAAAAAGGTAAAACTCAACTTTTCAACTTTAGGGGAGTTTAAAATGAGCCTATTTTCCAAACAAAGGTGAGTGTTCATTTAAAATATACCAGCAAACAACTCCCTGTGTAGTTATTAATGGTACATCAGTACACTAAAGTATTACCAAATAAGTTATACTCCACTTTCTATGGTTAAACATGGGTAAAATAATTCCAACCTCATTCAGCATACTTATTCTCACCCACAGTTATTAAAATAGAAAAAATGACAAGTGTTCACATTTTAATTTTAAATGATTAAATCCTCTTGCTGACAAATGGCATTTTAAAGTTTTAAAGTGATGCTGAGATGCTAATGGTCTAATCTAATTCAATGACTTATGCTAAGCTAAGATAAAAGTGCTCTCACCAGACCAAGAGATTGGATGAATGGATCAAAAATGATAAAACTTAACTTTTTAACTTTAGGGGAGTTGTAAAATGAACCCATATTCCAATAAAAGATGAGTGTTCCTTTAAGTTATACCAGCAAATAATTACAGTTGTAATTAATTTCTGTAAATACATCTGTAATTATATTGTTGACCCAAAACCTAATACTTAAAACGATCACATTATAAAAATAACTCACCAACAAACCTGTTTCTATCATGTACCAAAAGACATTTGAGTTATAGTAGTTAAAGACACATAATATACTTTGAAATATATCAAAAAGTGACTTGGCCCAGAGCTTGGTCTGAAACGTTGTATGAAAGCAAGACACCTGTGAATCAACTTACTTTTTTATAAACCTCACAGGCAACTTTCGCAGGTCTTAAAAGCACCCAGCATCATTGTACAACCCACAGCGGGAGGATTAGAGAAGTGGAAAAAACACCAGTGTGACCATGTGCGAGAGCTGAAAATGTGAAATAGTGCTCAAGGACTTTGTCCTTCGCTGTCATTAAGGATTTCGCAGACTAGCGGGTTGTTTAAAACCATGTGCTTGGTGATGCCAATGTGTGTGTGTCATTGACAGAACCCGGATCCACTGTGACAAAGGGGCAGCTGTACCTTCAGTCTCTCTAATGATGCTCACAATAGCTACTCTTCATGCCAAATCACAGAGATGAACCCATGCAGACCTGCTACTGTCATCAACGGGACAGGAAGAAGCTGGAGGCTTTTTCTAACCATCCAAGAGAACACACAGGTGAGTAAAACAGGCCAATAGTGGAGTCCCGCTTTTCTGTTGGACCAAAAACACACATTAGAATCCCAATTCAAGCAATAAAACACTCATTTTTCATAAGCAATTATAATGCAAGGAAGAGAATGAAAGTGACAGCAGTAATACAGGCTCTTTTATTCTTATTTTGGCAGAGGTTATGCTCACACAACAACAGATTTCTTTGATCGTGACACATTCGAGTGTGCTTTTCACAATTACATTTGGTTTACAACAGCAGGACTGGCCAACAAAATTCCTCTGAGATAAAACAAGCCTTTGATTTCGTTAAAGTTCATATCATTCATCTGGCGACTGTAATCAATGTTTGTAATTTACGTATCAGTTTTTAAAGCAGTCTCACCATATGATTAAGGTAATTATGTAAGCAAACAGTCACATCTTAAAATACAGACGCCTGTTTCTGCCATAGGATCAAACAAATGAAAATAATATAAAAATATGGTAATTGTGACTCAACTCAATGCAATTTTTTGTTTGTCTCATACTTAACTTTTTTATTTACCTGACAGTACATTGCAAAAAAAAAAAAGTGAATTCTGTGACAAAGTCAACATTGTGAGACTGAACATATTGGAACTATATTTATTTTGAAATTCTTTGTATGTATGAGTTTGTATGTATGTTTTTTTATGTATTTACTTTCTCAGAATTGCGAGCTTTTTTGCAATTTAAAGTTTATTTATTAAACTTTATTTTCTTCCAATTTGTATTGTACTTTAGATTTTTCTGTTAGAATTGTGACTATTTCTTGCAATAACCAGTTTATTGGCTGGCTTTTTTCATGCAAATGATTTCTTGCCGCAATTCTGCTTTCTTTTTACTTGAAGAGGTGTAAACTCACAATTGGTTGAAAGAACTGTTAAATTTGTCACGACAAGTTGCAATTCTGAGAAAATGTCAGAACTGTGAGATTTGCAAGTCTCAGAAAAACTTACAATTCTCAGAAAAACTGAATTGAGAGATATACAGCATGACCGAAAGAAGTCAAGAGTTTGTATCTCACAATTTTAAATATTTTCATTCTGAATTGCCAATTTTTGGGAGTTTATATTCTTTATTTCAATTAAGTTTATATAGAAAGTTTTTTTTTGTTTTTGCAAGAATCTGAGTAATCAACCAGAATCAAATATAATCTTGCAATTTTATCTCAGAATTGTAAGAAGAAAAGTCACAACAAAAATTTTTACATTTTATTCCAATGGCAGAAAGTAGCTTTCATACGTTCTGACCATGATCTTTAACTGCAATACTAAAATGGACTCATTAAAAACAAATCAACACTTTCATCACAAAAATTCCTCTTTTTGCCTCTTTTGTAAACAGTTGAAATGTGAAAAACATCTCTGTGATCGCATTAAGCCGTGAGACAGAAAAAACCCACGAGGCACGGAAGGCAGCAGGCAGTGAACAAGAGAGGAAAGAGGAAAAGAAGATAAAAAGTCAATTAAAAAAAGAAAAAAAAAAGAAAGGCATTAGTCCTATAAAACACTTGTGCGGCCAAATCTTCCGGTCTCTCAGCGGCCCGTCAGTGGAAGTCTGGCTTTTCTGGGAATGTGCAGCCCGCGTGGCGAATGATGACGTTAGCAGCGTAGTGCCCAGCGCGGATGCACTGCTCAAAGGTCTTATCCTGTACCAGCTGAGACAGGAAACCTGCGCACAATTCAAACACAGAACAGATTTCATCCCAATCAGAAAGCGTGCAGAAACACACGCACGTAAGCATATGTTTAATGAATGCATACATGAACACACATCCAAGCGCGTAAACACACACACACACACACATAAACATATGTCGGAGACTGTTAGCCTAGAAAATCGATTTGGTTGCCTGTAGTTTCTTTTAAAAAATTAAGGAAATCAGGCTTAAGGAGGGGAAAGGTGATGCTTTAATGCTGTGCGATACAGAAATCCTCCAGCTGCCCTCGGGCTCTGAACCCTCCCACCTAGATCTCTGCTCTCTGCTGCATTGAAAAACAGCTGGCAGATTCATTTTCCAACGCGCCGGAGCGCTGGCCTCCAACCTCTTGTTGGAACGGATAAAGGAGTTAAAAAAAATCAATACGACGTTTGAGCAAACACGCTCACAGCTCTATTAGTCGCAAGGTTGTCCTGGAAGAGCTACAGGAAGACATGTTAGCAAGTCAGGCTTGTGGCCTTTGAAAAGCAGAGGGCCGAGTAAGAGGCGGCGTATGAAGATGAATTACGCAGAGCCAGTGATCAACATTGATATTTTTGCTTTACACAGGGAGCCAAACAGCGTTGTGCTTTACGCATTTGATGGATGACTTCACAGTTGAGATCGGAGTAGACGCGCGGTTATTAGCAAAACCCGCAGATTAAAGATAACGGCTGCGGGGAGTCTGGAAACTCCACTAATCCATCACGAAAGCGATCTATTTCCCCCTTAACTGTGTTATCTGGGGTTAAATAGTACAATGGGACATTGGCGGCTTTTTGTGTGACGAAATGAAGCCAAACGAAATGAAGTATAACCAGAATCCGTCTGCAAATTGTCATTCCGGAGCAGCTGTGCGGGGAATAAATAAGCATCGTGTGTCAGAGCTCTTGCATCACGATCCCGTTTCCCAGAGGTTACAGATCAAACCTAATCCTGGATTAAATTGTCTTGTCAATAGTGATTTTCCATCGAACATACTTTCGTCTAGCACTAGTCTGAGTCTGGGACACCTGTTTCAACAATTCAGGCCATTTGTGTGCTGCCTGGAATTTCTTTCTGCTGTAAATTATATGTGAATTATTGTTAATTATTAGTTTCATAAGCCTAGGTGTTGCAGAGGCCAAAAACCTTTAGAATAATGTCTTAATGTTTGTTTGAATATAATAATAATAATAATAATAATAATAATAACAATAATAATAATAATAATAATACCAACAACCACAACAAAAAAAATATTTGGGTTTAATCAAAATTTTTCCAGAGATGCTAAAAGGTTTAAAATAATAATTAAATGTCTGAATTCATCATAAATCATATTTAATAATAATAATAATAATAATAATAATAATAATAATAATAATAATAATGTGAATGTTAAACCATTTATTATGATTAATGTGACTTCTTTACATAAATAGTTATTTACAAGCTTTTTTCTTTGTCTGAATTATGTTAGAATAAATATTCATTAAAGGGCACCTAATTTGACCCCTTTTTCAAGATTTAAGAGAAATCATTAGTGTCTCCAGAATGTGTCTGAAAAGTTTCAGCTCAAAACACCCATCAGATTATTTATTATACCTTTCAGAATATTGGAATTTTCTGCTCTGAACAACATTGTAGCTGTTGTTGTTGCCTGTGCCTTTAATGCTAGTTCTCCCCGCTTACCATTCCCATGTGCCTGTCAGAGTGTGCCTCAATCTTCACCTCAGCTGTGTCAGATAAACAGCACAGTGACATACATGAAAAAAGCAGATCTCATGTAACGTTTGTGAAAAAAAACTACAGTAAGAACTTTCCCAATGATTATTTGATATTTTTGTTTTGGACTTGTGGCGACGCAGTGGCGCAGTAGGTAGTGCTGTCACCTCACAGCAAGGTTGCTGGGTCGCTGGTTCGATCCTCGGCTCAGTTGGCATTTCTGTGTGGAGTTTGCATGTTCTCCCTGCATTTGCGTGGGTTTCCTCCGGGTGCTCCATTTTCCCCCACAGTCCAAAGACATGCAGTACAGGTGAATTGGGTAGGCTAAGTTGTCCGTAGTGTATGTGTGTGTGAATATGTGTGTGAATGTTTCCCAGGGATGGGTTGCGGCTGGAAGGGCATCCGCTGCGTAAAAATGTGCTGGATAAGTTGGCGGTTCATTCCGCTGTGGAGAACCCAGATTAATAAAGGGAATGAGCCAACAAGAAAATTAATGAATGAATGTTGTGGACTTAATTCAAGCCTTTCTGCAACGATGAGTCACACACAATGTCGTAACAAAGTTCATGCACACGCAGCAAGTGCGTTTAACTGTGCACTGTTTTTGCATGGCAAATGTGACAGGATACACGTTAATATTCACTGCTGTATGGATATCCGTTGTGTTAAAGTTAAAAATAAACCTGATTTAACAGCCACAAACCTGGATTGAATAGTCTTCTTTTAGAATTGTATTAACATGTGGCTGTGGTGTTAAAGCAAATACGGTAAAACCGCTGTAATTCATTACAAACATGCATTGTTCTCAAAACATTTTAAACTTGTAAAACTCATTTTTGACCACATTTGATAATGATTGATGATCACAGATAGCCGAACAGATCTTTTAATCCCAGTTGCTTTGCGCATGTTCTGTCTTGTTTATATGATTATATACATTACTATAGAGACATGTTCATACATGGCTATCAATCAATTTGGATGGCGGGGAAACCGCACTCCCAGTTTACGTTGCGGTGGTCCTAAAAATTGGAGGGATTTGGATCCCATTTTAACGCCAGGAAATTTAAAAAAGAGACTTATTTCTTTATATCATCCCAATATGACTGTGGACACAATACCTACACACAGTTCTGTCCAAACAGATTACAAACATAAAATTTTCATCATGGGTGCCCTTTAATAACAAAAAATATATATGGGTTATTGCTATCAGTCTTTTTTAAATATGTTTTTTAAATGTATTATTATTTATATTATTATTAATAATAATAATTACAATAACACCAGCAACAGGCATTTAATTATTTTTAATAATTTTTACAATGTAATGATAATGAGTCCAAAGACATGTGGTACAGGTGAATTTGGTACACTTTGCTATCTGTGCGGTGTTAGATTACTTGCACAATTTCTTCTTTTTTGTTGCTTTGATCACTTCTATTGTCCTCATTTGAGAATCTCTTTGAACAAAAGCATCTGCCAAACAATCAAATCTAAATGTAAAAGCGATTTTTCAAACACATTCTGTCTAGGACTAGTCTGAGTCAAACACACCTGTTACAACAATTCAGTCCGTTTATGTGCCAACTGGAATTTCTTCTGTCGAATACAAAAGAAAATATTTTGAAAAATGTCTCATCGCTTTTTGGCAATACAATCAATAGAAGTCAATAGAGTTCAAATGTTGTTTTGCGCTGGTTTTCATTGTAAGCACGAAAACCAGTAATCATCATCAGTTCCAGAGAAAAATGAGAAGTCACAGGTTGAGGGTGATATGAAGGTGAGGAAATGATTTAACCATTTGGCAGATACTTTTCTCTAAAGTGATTTACATTGCACTGAAAGTACAATTTTGACCAGTTCCTACTTTTCCCTGGGAATTGAACCCACAACCTTGGCGTTGCTTGCACTATGCTCTCCTGTTTAATAAGGGTGTCAAAATTTATTGTTTCTTTAGTGCATCGCAATGCAGACGGGAACATTTCGTTATGTAATTTGTTACATTATGTACTGACATAATTTGCATTTATCTCCTATGTGCATGTCGCCGTAGAATACTATGGCGAGGGAGATGAGTGCGAATAATTAAAATTCAAAAACTCAGCACAATTCACTGCGTGCGTTTGCTGGACAGTCATTCACTTAAACTGAACTTAAAGCAAAAGCCCATATTTCACTGCTATTGAGAAAATGAAGGTAAACTCCATTTCTTTCTCTTTCTCTTTCTCTCTCTCTGTGGCTCCTTTGACCTGCTGTCATGACATTTCCTCTCCTTTCAGCGGTTATAGTGATGCTTGTGAATCCAGACATAAGCGTGTCTTCAGAGTGAGTTTTCTCCACTGCATCTATCATGGATCAGCTGTGATCGCTGCTTTCGTTTGTCAGTGTCACTATCAGTGTACAGCCCCAAAACCTTGCAGCCAATCGCTGCCCTTTTTGTTGAGCGTGTGACCAATCATAGGCGTTTAACAACTCGCTTGACAATGCTCGAAAAGCAAGAGGGTTATTTACATTAGTTTATTTGCTATAAATGCTCATGTTGTTCAGTGTATATAATTAAGTTTTGTTTAATGCATACAAAAAGTGTTTTTTCTTTGAGCAGGTGAAAATAAAAGTACGGTTCATATATCCGACTGTTTGTATAAAGGACAAAATTAAATACAAAAAAAAAATTTATACAAAAATTATTGTGCTGCGAAGTAAAGTATAAAATTGTGTTTGGAAAGAATTGTGCACCAAGATATTTAATTGAACCGAATTGATGGAATGATAATCGTAACCAAACCCTGAGACCAGTGTAGGTTGAAGCTGGATTTATGCTTTTGCCTGGCGCCGCATCACGTATCTGTGCTGACTGTGCGCGCACGTCGCAAAACGGACGAGGCTTTTATACTCGACGTGTTCAACGTTGTGATATTTATTTAAATGGCAAGGGGGGGTCAAAAGAAACTGACTGTAAAGACAGACGGATAAATAGAGAAGTAGGAAGTTTCCGAAACTACGTCATTTCATTAATATCATTCAATACTTTTAAACTAATTATTTTTATTGTTTTTATAAATTATTTTAATGATAAGTATTTTTATAACCATTTAAGATTTTTTTAAGATCAAACTTTGATGCATCGCTTGCTTTCGTTCATATCTCGGACAGTTTTACCTTTTAAATTTATTAAAATATTAATAAAAGGGGATGGGTTGCTCTACAAATATATTTTATTATGGCAAGAATAAAAGCAAAAAAAAGAAAAGTACACTTACTAAATAAAATACTGGTGTTTTTTTTTATTTAGCCTGCTCCACAATTCACACATTACTGTCTGGTTAGTTTCTGTCCTGTACTTATGCTAAAAAGGCAATAATGGTCCAACATTCCTGACCATTATCACCAGTAAAGCCTAGAAAAACAGGCCATCAGTATATTGTAAACCGATTGGTTCAAAGACTCCTTTTTTCTGTTATCAAATGAATAATTTGTACCTTATTTATAGTTTTGTAACTATTAAATTGTTTTAAATTCAAAATTCAACTATATACATCATCAGTGTAAAACCAGTGACTAGTGGAAAAACATATTCTGTAATTGTGTACCTGGGTCTCAACTTTTGCCATGACCTCTTTCGGTTTTAACAAACGTATCCTTCAGGTTTTTCAAAACCTTTTAACAAAAACGTTTTCTTTTCCCACAGCTGTTTCAATTTCTAGTCAAGAATGATTGATCATTAGGTTATCTCTATGATCTTGGATCATAAAGATGTCTGTACTGTTGTACTGTTTCTGACTAAATCTTTTCAGAGTGTTTCATAATGAACTCAAATCAAATGCGGCGCCGCGCGCACTGTTAGCTCGAGTCTCAAAAAATACCATGCGCACCGCCAGCCGAAATCATGTCACGCGCACCCAAAGTGAACATCCGCAAACTCTGCGATGACGTCACATTCGCTGCGTGCACTCAAGCTAACAAGCGTACCCCTCGAGTATAAACCAGACAAGAAAGAATACCATAGTTTTAGTAGTACAGTACCTCCAACAAAAGCGTCTCCAGCCCCATTGGTGTCCACTATCTCGCTCTGGTCGATCTCCAGGACAGGGAATGTCTCCACCTTGTCACCTGTGGAAAAGATGGTCCACGGTAAGTGTGAGCTTGTTAAACTATTGTAGAGCTGAAAAATGAGCCTCATTTACAGACCGGCTGTTTGGTAGACGTGTGAGACTTTCTACTGTCAAATATGGTCTTTTTTATATAAAAGACTGTATAGTTTCCTTAGAAGCTCAAAGAACTTTTTCATTTTTCAACAGTGTCAAGCATAGATTCAAAGCCGCAAAAATAAAAAACATCACTGTTTCGAGAGCTCACACGCCTTGTTTTCTGCGTATGTCTCCTTTACAAACAAATCTAGTTAGCATGATGCTAATCATCCATGACACAGCAGAGACAAGAACCAACTTAGCATCATGAAAAGATGGAGAAGTTCCCTTAAGACATGCAGAAATGAACAGAGGGATGTGCCATTTTCACTGGATGAGCTGTAAGAGCCCTGCTTGGGCCTTGAACTCAAGGAGAGGCAATTATATCATTTGGCGGTTCTTCAGCACCGCAATTCTTGTAGAGAAATGAATCAGCTCTCAAAAATAGCATTTGAAAGACGACGTCAGTCTATTTTCAGCATTCAGTCTGAATGATCTGTCCCCTTTCGGGCTAAAATAATGCATTAACTGTCCCGCGGTTCCCTCTCGAATGCCTTCTGCCATACGCTTGTGTTTTATTCATGCCATTAGGCTCCATTAGGGTTGAATAAGGCTGATATAACTTTGCTTTGCAGTAAGAAGAGCACTTCAGAAAACCTGATATTAGATTCTTGAGGGTGTTCAGAAAATTCCACATGTGGCAAGTCTGGCAACACAATCCAGCACTGCAATTTGCCATCTGAAACTGAGCTACTGCTGCCTTCAAGAGCACCTGGTGGGTGCCGACTGCAGCCGCTATTACCACATGCCACACAGTCAAGCTGGAAAAATAAAAACACGACATGACAATTGCAGTCACATCTGGTATACAATTAGATTAACATAATTGAATCCAATGCACTTTTACAGAGAACTATAATAATACAAATTAGTTATTGGGTTTACTAATGGCCTGTTTCCACTCAGTAGTGCACTTCGGTACAGTACAGAACAGTAGGCATGAACTTTTTTAGCACTACCACAAATACTAAAATTGCGAACTGTACCACTTTTTTGGCACCCTATTTAAGGGTATTTAGTTAAATTTTACAGTACCAAAATGGTGGAGCTATATTCACGGCTTAATGCTGTTGGTTTATAGTGTCACCAGTGATTGGTTTAGAATCATCACCAGAGGTTGCAGCAAGAGAAGTGAACAACAACAACACAGAAAGTGCTATTTTTAAATACACAACTTAAACACAACAACATGATAATACAATGTTGGTGGGCAGAAATCAACCATGCTCAAACAAAACTTGTTAATTTCTTGTGCTGCACCCAAATGTGTGGAAAGCACAATGTGTACCAATTTCCTTTTTTAATTGCATATTTGCCATATAGATGTATTTGAACATTATGAACATTAGTTAACAAAAGACGCAATGAGTGAACTGTCCATACACCTTTCTTCTTTGAGCGAGAATCACAATCACAACTTTATGGCATACACCACACTTATTAAATAAGGGTATTTTGGCAGTGCAAATGCAACCCTGATCAGGGTGACCCGTACCAAACTGTACTGTACTTTTCTGAACCACGCAGTTGAAACGAGGCATAACATATCTAGTCATCATGTTGACTATATACAGTTTCAAGCTAATTTTAACCTATTCTACTAACCCGAACCAAACAATATACTAATTGTGCTTTTGCACTGCATTGTATGACTCATCTGCATAGTATGGGGTGTTTTCCATTGTGTAGTAGCAGCTCAATTACAATATTTACATTCAAATTTACTCATTTAGCAGACGTTTTTGTCCAAAGTGACTTACAATTGAGGAGGCATTTAGTGATTCAATAAGACACAATACGCACAAGACATTCTAATTATACAAAGCAACTGTTGGTGCTCAGAGAATTAGGAGTAAGTGTGAGTTATTTATTTTTTTGAATCGAGAGAAAAGTGTGGTTTGTCAAGCCCACTCACCAGTGTGAAGCACACTTCATAAATGTAAAGAGTTTTATTTTTGATTCTGATTGTAGGAACGTGTCTGGTTTGAATGTGCAAAACTGGTGAAAATCAGTTCAAGTGTCAAAGAGATGAAAGATTGTGCTTTCTACAGTTGGTTTGTCAAGCCCACTCATCTGTGCGAGGTAAGTGGGGGCCCTGGGGTAACACTATTTTAATGGTCCATTTGAGTGTCAATAGACTGTCTGCTTAATATCTGCTGATACTGCTCCTTCAACAGACATTTAACTGCTTATAAGAAACTTTGCAAATACATGTCAACTTACACTAACCCTAACCCTGATCCCAACCTAACAGTCTACTTATAATCTAATGAGAATTAGTTGGCATGTAGATGCAATGTAACTTAAATTCAACAAACAGACCATCAAAATAAAGAGTGATCGGTCCTAGTCATGAACATTGTGCCTGATGCTTTAAAGCAGTACTAAACTACAGTGAAAATTAATCCCAAGTATTATGATTATGTGGCACTTATCAAGCTCACTAGAACTGATATTCTCTCCTTCCTTTACTATAAGTTATAGCACAAAAGAAGCATCAATAAATATTAGAAGCAATGCTGAAAGATACAGAGCAAAATCATGTCTCGTGTAAGCACTCAATCCATCTAACCGCTTAAAGGCATCAATAAAACTACTCATAAACAATGTCACATGTACCTTAGGGAAGTAATTAACTGTTCATATTTTGTGAGTCAGTGAGAAAGATAGCACTTTGTAAATATATGTACTTTATTAAATATTCATTAAATTTTTACTGATTACATTAAAAATTACATTTACATTACATCCATTAGTGATGCCTGCATGTTTGAATAAATCTGTCCTCACAATAAGCTATTACAGCTATTATAATATACTATAATTCAAAATTAATTAATAAAATGTTCAACATAGGGCTGGGTGAATTTGCGCGCACACACACACACACACACACACACACACACGCACACGCACACCCACATATATATATATATCATTCGATATCGATAATAATTGAATATTTTTAACAATACATTTGGAATGCTAGGACTTTTTTTTTTTTATTTTAATTTACCAACATTAGTTACTGAGGCAAATAGTTTTAATATTCAAGAACAAAAATATTTAAACTAAATATATCTCTTTATAATAAAAACACAAGTTCTAAAGAGACTCGTAAACTTAATAAAAAAATGTTACAAAGTGTGTGTAATGGTAAAGTATAAACACTGAACAATCAAAGCTAAATTTAAAGTGTGAATAATAATGATACAGTGAACGTCAAACTCTATAAACAACACAAATTAAACATTACAAATTGTGAAGTTGAATGACTACATTATGCTAAAAAATGACCCCATGCTAAAAATCTTTCAGATGGGGAGCTATTGCATGGGATGCACAAGAAAAGAAACCAAAAAGCCACTCTGGCGACATACTTACATCCTTTTTTATTTACAATCTCCTCGCTGCTGCCAGTCACAGCTTTAATTTTCGCTTTTGACAATGGTGTGTTTGGTCAATAAATATCGATACTGATTTTAGAGCCCAGCTCTAATTCAACAATTGTATCACTTAAAAAGGTGATATATAATGTGCGTTTCTGTAATAATTATTATTAATATTCAGTTTCAACCATGAACTGTTCCTGTGGTGCATTTGACTTGCAAAAAAGTGGTCTATTTTTAATATAAACATGTGCCTACACTATTTCACTCTAGTATGGCTAGAGCACCATAGACAGACATGATGTCCTGTAAACATTCATTTGCTTGCAACTCCAAATTACAATATTTCAAACTCTACTTGAAGGCTGCGTACAACCTCACATTTGTTGACACCAACTAGAAGACCTAAGGGAGAAAGCTGAAAAACATAATCCAGCCTTAGCTAGACATGGTGACAATTCCTTCACCAAAACAGCCTGTAATCAGTAACAACACGCATCTACAGAGGGCTTTAAAGCGCACACCTGCTAATAGTAGCCGGTAAGTGTCAAAGACCATCACTTTGTGTGCAGAACTTCAGAGGAAACCATCAGACGCAGACAGTAAACAACAGTGAACGTGAGCGAAGCCTTTCAACTGACGCAACAATGAGCACTCAAGACACGTCTGCTGCGTGTGTGAGCGGTTTTTCCCTCAACGAGGCAGCCGATTGTGTCTTTGATAATTAATTACACAAAAAGCAGATCCTTTTAGAATCAGCTAATTAGCAGCAAAACGACTTTGCTTAATTAATGCAGGCAATGAAGCATGCTCGCCCGCCTTCCTCTTGAAATGATTAACTAGAGGATCTTCCGTGCGAATTAAGTTAACAGAAACTCATGATCTATCTATTATTTCGCAATTAAAGAATACAATATTTCCATTGCTGTCATAGCATGCTTTCTCCCTTGCGCACAACTACGAACGTGAGTCTAATGCGCAGTTTTGTTAAAACAGACGAGTGACTGAAGGGAAAAAAAAATGACCAGAAGCAAATGAATGTGTTCAAAATGAAACTGTATGTGGTTCCTTCCTTCCTGTACATAGGCTGACCTGATTCTACTTCCTTTTATGACTCAGAAACAGCGCAGCTTGAGAGCGAGAGAAAAAAAATAGCCATTAACTGTTCCTCCCTTTGATACCCATGACTGAACTGAAGAGGCTCTAGACAATAATGGACATCAAACTGACGATTAAGGCTCGTATGAAGCTACAACACTCTGTTTCTTCAGATCTGCGAGGGGGAGAGAGCAGAGACAATGCAGTTCAGCATGGTGCGAATGTAGGTACTAGCATGAGCTAAACCCTCCTGCCCTTTGATGACAGGTCACGCACCAGAGGCATGCTGGGAAATGTCCAAACATCCCAGCCGTGGTGAGTCATATGGAGGGAAAAAAATTATGAGGTGATTCTTGGAAGTGCGTGGTACAACATT